ACTAGGGGAAAAAGTCACAAAGCCTGGATCCCTGTTTGCAAAGAAACAAAACCATGAAGGGGTTACACAATCTCTGTTTAAACATAAATTAAACATCCAGGTTGTAGATCTGGCAGGTTCTGGTTCAAAACAGAAACTGAAAAAAGGTGGAAAAGATATAAACAATGAACAAAATTGGTGTTTTAATAGATGTCAGTGGACTATATAGACTTTTGAATATGATTTATAACATACCAACTATAATATGCTATACCATTTACAGACCACATAGCTCATTCCTTCCAGCTGATTACTGAAGGCATTTTTTTTAAAAAGAACTTTTTTCACTTGTCCTAAAATCTTCCACTAAAGCTCTTGAAATGTTTTATAAGAACCACCTGTCTATTTCACACTATCCCTTGATAGCTATGAAAGTATTATATGCATTTTTTTATACAGAAACAAGATAAAAATTGCTAGGGAAAAATATGAATGGATGGGTTAATTGGAAGTCTGAAAATTATTTGCCAAAGTAAAAGAAAAATTGTGTAACTAACAATAAAATGTAAGAAAAGAGGAAAAGTATTGCCAATAACATTATATTATCAGATGGAATACTCTGAGGATCCAGACTCAAATGCCCAGTGAAAGGAAATAGCCATAGGAGGTCCTAAAATACTATATTAGAGAAATATTGATAAAGGGAGATTTCCAAGGTAAATTAGGAAAATATGAAAGAAAGGAGAAACGATAATCATTTTTTCCAGAAACCAAAAATCTGGTGGTACTCTAAAAGCAAAGGGGAAAAAAAGTGAAAATCCATGTTTTGGTACACGTTAAATCTGTCATTTTTATGAAGACTGTGCTAACAGAACAAGACGACTCAGATGATTTAATCTCTGTAACAGAGAAACCTGGAACGGGCATATGAAAGGTACTCAAGAGAAGCTGATTTCCATGAAACTTCAGAGCTAACCAATGACTGAAGAGCAAATATATTCTGGTACCTACAACTTCAAATGCCTGAGGAATCGAGAATCTATCCAGCATGTGTCCAACTATAACAAGGAATATCTAGGAAGAAAACAATTAAAAGACAATTATGTCAAATTTTAAGAAACTAATTCCCTATCTACAATGAATCTGTCATTTTAAAAGCTTCTCCTGATAACCCATTGCCTGAGACTTCAAAATGGACAAGACCAGATCCTAGCTTACAGGATAAAATATAACCTACCAGATCATTCCCTTTCCCATATCTGGCTTCTCCAAAATAGACGAGGAAAAGAGAATCAATAAATGAGAGCAAATACCACACCACTTGTAAATGCAGTCTTGAATTTATATCATGTCTCCATTTACTCAAACCAATAAACTTGATCTTTCTATATATTCTGCTTACCCATGAGACCAACAAGTCAGTCTACTTTCTGGCTTTTCAAGTAAATTGGTTCCACTAAATTCTTGCTTTTACAACCAAATTGACGTGAAAGAGAATAGACAAAATGGAGACCCAAAGACCACCAGTAAGATCATTGGACACTGCCTCATAGAAGGACCACACGGAAGGGACTATTTATCCAGGATGCAATATAAAACTGTTGAAACACATACCTACCCTTTAGTTTTTTAATATTCCGCCCCCCTACTACTATGGTCTTGGATTTGGTACATTAATTCTATTAGACTTGGGTATGTTCATTTGTATAATAAAATCGTTCAATGCATGAAATCCAAGATAGATAAACCCTTCAGAAATAGTAACTGGAGTAATAATTCCCTGAGGGTACAGAAAGAGGTGGGAGTGGGTGGGGGAACCGATAGCAACAATGACTATTTAACCCCACTCCAGGGGACCGAATTACAGAATGGTAGGCAAATGGATATATAGGATGGTGCAAAATACAGTTAAAAAAAGAGAGATAACAATAATAATATTTAATCTAACAACAAGGGTTCCTGGGGGGCAGGGTGGGAGAGAGCAGGAATAAAGGGGAGCTGATATCAAAGAATGCAAGAAGGAAAAAAATGTTTTGAAAATGATGGTGGCAACAATT